GTTTTCAGCAGACCTGTTGGGTGACAGTCAGTCAACAGTCAGTATAAGTGATTCAAGGTATACAGAGTAACTTCAACATTAAAAAGTATACATTAATTACAGTCAAATTTTTATTTTTCCTTTTATTCTTGGGTCTATCACTAATATTGGTAACCTGTTGGTTAACTTTCAGTTGACAATCAGCTGACAGGGTTTTTCAGGGAGCTCTTCTTTACAATTACAAATTTGTAGTTGCTTTCCCTGCTTAATTAGCAGTTTTGTATGGGTATTGAAACTTTGATGTAAGGAGGAAGGGTAACACTCAGGTTCACCTACAAAACTGCCAGCTAAGCAAGCAAACTTAAAGCTAATGTAAATAATTTAGCTTTGGGGTTCGAGGGTGATTTCTCTTCCTTTTTATCTGTATAAAGTCAACCAAAATATAAAAAGGTGTTGTCCTTGCCTTAAAATCTATAGAGTCTTTTACAAAAATATTAAAAATTTAGTTGATAAAGATATTTAGTGGGTGTCAGGTTAAAGTATAGGGCACAGGTGTAGCTTGCAAATAATTAGCAGAGTCATTTGTAGGAGGTGATAGAATTGTTTTGGGTTTTTAAATGTTAAAGTACAATCCAAACAATGATGCATGTATGAACTGCACCCACTGCTTTTTAGGGCTGTACATGTTCATGTATTTACAGGCCTGTCAATGTGCATCCTCAGGACTCCAGAATGCTAGTATCAGGTCCAAACCTCTCAACTCACCTTACTCAGTTTAAATGATATTTCAAGTGATAACCTGAGTTGTTGTGATTTGTGGGTAGTGGAATTTTTCACTCCATTAACTTTTGTTGGTGCATCTTCCTGCAGTTGCACAAATGGCTATTGTTTGCAATAATTATTGTTTTCATCTGTTATAGTGTAGCGTTTCGTCAGTTATGTGGATAGTTTTAACCAGCCATATACCTAATTTTAATAATGATAAAGCGAATGTCTTTGAACAACAACTTTCTCTATTGCTCTGATCTTAATTTTCAACTTGCCTTTCATAAGTGATGCTATGATGTCATGGTTTAGTATATCAGGTGCATTGTCTGCCAACTGCAGGACAGTTGTGAAATTTTCAACACACGTGTATGTGATTTTAGGTATTTGTGACTTTATTTGAAACTAATTAAACCAGATTGGTCCTGGTGACTTTGCAGATAAAATGTTTATCATCCTTACACCTGATATTCTTGACCAGAATTGAAATCTGAAGCCAAACAGAAGAAACTGAGAGCAAATTCATTTGAGCTTTGGAGAAATAACATATTTTCTGTGTTATTGAATATTCAAGATGAATTAGGGCAACTTTGTGAGGGGAAATTATAAAAAGGGAAGTTGGTTCAAAGCAGGGTGGCTTAACTAACCTTCCATTTACACAGAATACTTTTTTCTGACATTGCCTTGTACATGAGCTCTCCTTACTGATCATGTTTAAAAGAGGTTTGTACCTTTTCTTGTCATTCTCAAACTTGATAAGCTCCATTCAAGCCTTAAATTACAGAGATTGTATGTAATAGTGTAGGTATGTGATACTTTTTTTCTATGGAGACAGGTTTTGGCAATAGTTGAAGTGAACATACTTATACTCCACTTGAAGCCTGAAAACACATCTCATTCCTAGCACTACTGTTGTATTACAAGCTGTTAGTAGGCTTGTTTTGCTGTTTTGCTTTGGAAACTAAAATTTATCCTCTAGATATTGAATCCATCCTTCTGTTGTAGTTCACAAATTACTTTAATATGCAATGAAAATATTTCTGTTAAAATTCATCCAACTTTCATCACAATTTTGCAGAGAACTTTGTCATGCAGAAATCTTCATATTCATTGCTTTCATTCACTAAATTAAAAAGAGGACCATTAAGGGAAATGATCTAGCACAGTATACTTTAACAGTACAGTACTTGATGCATACAATTAGAAAAAATTTAACTTTCAAACTAGAATGCTGGGACAAAAGTGTGTAATTTTTTAAGAAATGTAGTCCCCATTGATGTTTAGCTTCAAACACAAATATTTCTAATTAAAAGGAGCAACTCGTGTATTTTTTTCCAAAAACATACCTAATGTTTGCATAATTTAGCACTGAACAATCTCTCATTTAAATCTTTGGGCTTGTCAGAAAATTTTTACTTAATAATTTCGTTTTCTTTTGAGTAGACAGACAATAGATTTGAGGGTATTCCAGAATGGTAGAGAATGGAAACAAGTAAAATATATTATAGCTACTATCTTGAAAAGTTGAGGCTCAAGTTTTCAAGATTGCAAAACGTGACTGGGCTGCTTCAATTAAAGGCTTGCTGTAAAATAATAGCTTGAGTGTGATGTAAGTTGTAGTATGATAACAATGATAATTTGGTAAAGAATTACTTCATTATATGGGTTAGGAGGAGATTTTTAACTTTTTAGTACTTTGTTGTCTACAATTGATATCTTGCCCTGATTTTAGACTTGTCAGTTATAATATTTGTTTAGATTCAAATGTATTCATAATTTGAAGACATTTTTGAGCCAGCTTGATGTATTTTATGGCCATTTTAACACTTGACTCTTTATAACGGGAGTCTTAGTAAAATTAATGCTACATTTTTGCAGTTATTCAGTTATCGGAAGCTTATCAGTCAAGTCAACTAGTGTATAATGTGAAATGAAATAAACTTATCTTGTTATCACAGTCAACTCATTTGTTTTGATCATTTTAACTATGAACCGAAGTACTAGCTCCTAGTCACATTTTGAGGTATATTGGCATAGCCAAAGTAATCACCCCTGGAGTGAAAAGGGGAGGGGGAGGTTACTCCGGTTTCTTGATGTCAAGTACACCATTGCCAACCATAACCGGGAAGTAGTGCTTACCTTTTAAGATTTGGGTAAAGATTTTGAGATTGGAAATATCCTTCTGCTTCACGAAGTTGACGAGATTATTGCTGTTTTTCTTGTGTTTCTACATCAGGCGAAGAAATTAAAATCGAATAACAAGGAAAAAGTCCCACAATACTTATGAAGCGAGTTGCATAGCCACTTTCTATCAACAAGGAGCGCTGGATAATGATTGATAAATTAATCAACTCACCAAAGACGGTGTTAAATTCTTTTTATTTTGTGTAAGCTCCACAGAGTTTGCACGAAAAGAGAAGCAAAAGTACATGTCGTTGATTCTAGTATCACTATAGTTGCCATCACCATCTCACCAGAATGCGTCAGGGCCAGATCGTTGTTCATATAGAGGAACCATTCCACCCGTAAAAAAAAATTATTCGTTGATTTCTCAAAAGTTTTCATTATCTCAATAGGACTTAGAGGGATGGTTTGGCTTGGATTTTAATCGTGAACAACTCTAGATCTATTAATATTATAGATCTAGATTATAGATCTAGATCTATTGCCCATTTAAATGTTTGGGGAGGGCCAGTTGGGGTTTTGGGACGTGGCTCATCTGGTATTTGAATAGATCCTTATTATCTAGAAGTGATATATGAAAATAATGATTCTTGAATTGATCGCTGTTTAAAATATACCGGTAAGAATTAAGAAAAGAAGAGGAATTACCTCCATGGCAAATGTCGCTGTTAGTAGCCACAGCTTACATATCTCTTTGACTGCAACCAGGTATATTACAGATTTGCCAGAGATGATATTCCAACTGAAATATTCACCCAAAGGTCTTTTCCGGAAAACTGGAGTCCCTGAACCCTCCCCTTTAGTTAGAAGTTTGTTTTCTCGGTCGGAGCATTCTGATAAAATGTCCTTTACCTAACTCCCGTCAAAAATAGCACAACAAGAAAAAAAAAAGAAAGACAATCTAAAGGCCTGATGAAGCCCTTGTTGTTATTTTTGCTCTTTTCAACCAGCGGATTTTATGTAGCCTGTATGTTGCTTCCTGATGGGCACACCTTCGATTCTTCTTAGGCCATGTTGCTCCTCCTAAGAGGGTTGCAGAATTGTTTTACTCAAGGGTACAAGTTTGGAACTCAGGGTTGAGTTTCCCAGTCGCATGTAATACAGCAGAAACAGGGTTCAGTTTCAACCACCGTACTCTTGATTCTTAACCTCAAGGAACCAAAGAAAGATTAGTTTATACAGTCCGCAAGCCAGGATCCCAAAATAAGGGTTTCGAACAATGATCGGGTTAGAAAAGGTTTGATAGCGGATTTCGTAGAATAAACCCGGCTGATCAATGTCAGCTAGTTTGTAGAGTTATAGGTTTCGAGTGAGGGACGGACCATTTTTCTGGAGGAAGAGTATGAACGCTGCCGGGGTTTCACTTTATTTGCACTCCTTAACCCACTCTAGAGCAGGCTAATAGGGATTTGTTTTACCAGCGTATTATGAGAGCACATAAATATTTTACTGCTGGATAATTTTTCCTTGGCAAATTGCACTGGTTAGAGTTGTTTCCTCATAAAGCATAAAGTCAACCTTACCAAGTCTGAAATTGACATATTTGGAAATGTATTTGACTTTTTCATTTCCGCGATGGTTTAAGTACTTGTTACATCATACAAGTGTCTCCGACAAAAACACGTGTCCAAAGCCCAAATTATTGTGGAAGCCCATTAAATCTCCTTCACTTGCGTGAACTTATTAATTATAAAGATGTAACGCACCCTTGAAGATTCTTGTCATAATGAACGTTACATTTAAGCATTATCAGTAGTTATGGCTGAGCCTCGTTTCCGCAAATTTAAGGGGTGTTTTATGAAAACACCCCTAACTCAGAACCTAACATTGATCAGCAGGCTCTATTCTATAAAAATCCGCTATCGAGCCTTTTCTGACTCGATCATTGTACGAAACCCTTATTTTGGGGTCTTGGCTTCCGGACTAATATTCTCGTTTGCTCTTTTTGACTAACAAGCCCAGTGGAGACCGGAAACAAAGAGCCAAGTGCACATACCGCATGAAAGTGACAGCCGGAAGTGAGGGGCACGCATAATACACCAAAAAATAGCCCTATGTACCGAGGTAACTTGGGTCACTCTTCTCTAGTTTTAAGATGGTTGCTTCCTCCCTGTCAGATAAAGCCTTTTGTGATGTGACGAAAAAAGCGCGATTTAGTATGCAAATATAGGACACCGCGGTGACAAGTTATCACATGCACTTCAATGAAGCGAAGCATGCGTACTGTGGGCATTCTATGCTTAGATTCGTGTAATTAGCTACCGTATTTGTAATATGGCCATCAAAGCTATCCGAGCTCGAAAATAGCGATCAGTTTGAAGGAAAGGCCTCCATCTGCAGACCTTCGTATATTTGGAGGCAGAGTAAGATACAAGAGGTGCAGGATCGGAAAGGCATGGAATTACTGCGGCTGTTTTACGGCATTCAGTCTCCCTCGTTCTTCACTCATTGTTGTTTTGGTGAGTTCAAAACGTGCTACGCACTCTTCGATTACGCGAATGATACTGCGGCTTTAAGCTCATCAGCTCATTGTGATCGTTGTAATGAGGATGCATGGAGTCCTCTTTTTGCTTTCTGCTTGCTGTCTGATTCGCAATTCGTCAAAATCTTCTAAGACCGACCTGTTGATTATTGAATGGTACACCATTTAAACTGCTATTTTGGGACCGTCATAGTCATTTTACGATCTATGCGAAATGCGTATCTACTTGCACAGACTCGATTTATGTTTGTTGTGATTTTCGTTTTTTATTTTGTACGGAAATTAACGGTTACTCAATATAGCGAGCGAAACTGAAGTGGAATTTTGCAATCACAACGCAATTAAAATTCGCCACGCTTTCTAAATACGTCCTATCATGTGAAGAGTGTACGTGATCAGGAGCGGTCAACTTTCATTAGTGTGATAGCACTGCGGTGTTTATACTAAGGGTTTTATTTCGAAACAACCTTTCAAATTTTCGAAAGTAATTTCTCCATTGTAAGGTAGCCAGAATACTCGAACTAAATCGCTGTGAGAGATTTGGATTAAGCAAAACTCCCCGAACATGAATGAGCACATATGACAAGTTCGCACCGTGCAAGTTGACTAGACGTGAAATGACCTCTGGAATGCTTTATTTAGCCACGTTGTCTTTTACTGTAGACACTTTAAATGATCTCGTGACCGCCCCTTTGCCTATGCTTTGCTGCTGGGATGAATAGAGGTTTTCAAGTCTAGACGAAAAAAATGTAGACGAGTTCATCTTACCTTGTCATCGACGACGGCCTTGAGAGCAATTCGATCATTGCCTTGAGAATTGCTTCGCAGATAATCCTTTTTATTGAGTTGATTACCTTGTCTTGAGATTAAAATTTACCTGTGAAGTTGCACCGACTGCGTTTGATAAGGTCTCTCAATACTGAATTTGCTTCACCGGTCTAATAATTGAGTAACGTTCAGTTGGCATTTGGTTAGCAGAAGTTGCAACGGTAAAATATTCCTCATTCAATTTGGTCATGGTCAGCTGGTTCCAATTAAAAAAAAAAAAAAAAAAGATGGAGTTGTAAGATACTTCCAACCGAGTGAAAGCTATCACAATCACAATGCCAATTCTCAGGCCTTTGCGGTACATTCTTCCACTTGTGACTCTGACAACTCAGTTTTCACTGGAGTGTGAGCAACTGAGTTGCAAGTGGCAAAATTATTTTTCTTCCAATTTGGTCAGATTGATATTCATTAGATCCTATGGCTGTGTGCTTATGATTGAGACTCCAACTTCAACTCAGAGTTGAAATGAGATGAAAACCAGCCTTTAGATTACCAATCACTCTTCTAGACAGCTATTGAAAAGTATAACTTCTGTGAATTAAGAATACAGGATTTTAGAGTAGCAATTGGACTATCAAAAATTTGGCCTGATTGCAATATTGTCCAGATACTGAGAGTGGAAACTGAGATGCTGCACGCAAATTTTAGTTAAATAACATGGGTATGTTTTTGATATTTTCAGAATTCATGTATGTCAAATGTCAAATGCAAAGTACTTGTTGCTGTACAATCTGATGTAGACATGATGGTTAATGTCAAATGCAACAATCAAACCTATCTTTTTGGACACAACATTTAGGGGAAACCCCAATTCTAGGAGCATAAACAGTAGTCCCTTTGGGAAAAAATCCTCTTTTTATTTGCAACACCTCTGTGAAAGGGACACTTTTTGTAGACTAGAGTTTTCCCCCTGTGGAAAGGGTGGTGAATAATTCAATCCAAAACTTGCTTAAATGTGGTTACTTCTGTTTTAAAAGACAAGACTAAGGCTAAGAATATGAAATATGCAATTCCCTATTTTACCTGTTGTACTTGTATTGAAATACTCTCTTCTAAGTTCATTTTTACTTTATATCAGCTTCAACATGGCAGTATTTTTAACATCAGGGACTCTTCGTCTTTACCTTATAGCAAAAAAAAGGAAAACTGAAATGATAGAATTCTTCTTTCTTGACAAAATGAAAGTTGATGTATTGGTTCTTTTGTGTGACTAATGTATATCGTTCTCTTTTTTTGTGTTTCTATTCCCAGTTTGTTTCTTTTTATTGTGGCCACTCCTGGTTGCCGCAACATTGCCAGAACATGGTAAGTTATATTGGGGTGAGCAGCTATATATGTATATATATATATATATAGAAGCTTCATTGACATTAAGAACATATTGCACATTAGGCATTTACTTTATAGCATGTGTGATGTCTATCTGGCTGATGTCTTTGGCGTGGAATATCAATAATTAGCATATACCACTCAACTGAATAGTGCTTTTCACACCTGCCGATTGGCTAGTTTAGAAGTAAATAGTTACTATTATTCACCTCCAAGGAGTCTATGAGAAAAATCACATTTAATTACTACCAATCAAGTTTAATTGAAGAACTAATAAACCTAGTTTTTTTGGTATCTGTGTGGTATATACTAAAACAATTATTCACCTCAGTGTTGGTGAAAGTAGTAGATATTGACCTTGCAGCTTAGTGGCTTGGTAAATATCCACCACTATTCACCTCCACTCTGGTGAATAATTGTTAAATATCATTCACTGGCATGGAATTTTAGTGCATCCTGGGTTACGCCTTGAATATAATGAGCTAGGTTCCCTTGCTGATTGCTGGTACATTCCTTAAACCTGTCTGAGTGAAGATCAGGGGACAGCTGGAGAGATAAGTGTCTTGGCTGGTAAAACAACACAATTAATGACTAGACTCCTTTTCTGTATTTTACTTTGTAGCTATTGGGATACTTACAGCAGGGTCTCCCATGGTGTTAAGAATGCAATTTTACTTAATTATGCTCAGAAACTTGTTGCAAATTGCACTGGTGATTATAGGGAGATATGATGCAATCCTCAACCAATCAGAGCATGCTAATCTCTATAATTACTTGAGTAATTATGCTAAGTATTGTTAGTGATATCTCTGGGTTCAGATAGAGAAATAAGATTTTAATTCAAACAAACTTTTGAATTTAGTGGGTGCCACTCAGAAATATGACCTGCCAAATTGACCAATTATAGTGCACATACCAACTGAGAGATGTCAGTAATAAAATAGCATTTCATATTAAGTGTATCTGTTGTTCATGATTTTATGAGTTTCACAGTTGGGTTGCAAAACGAAACTTTGAAAAAATGTGAGCTTGGAGAGCTAATCAACATCTCCTTTTTACAGAGTGTGGTGGAGACATCTATCTCAATAAGACAACTTTCTCTCTCTCATCACCGGACTATCCTAGTTCCTCACCTCGTGGCTCTGAATGTTCATGGAGGGTGAGCAATCCAAGAGGGATGGCAGTAGTTGTTCAAGCTATTAATCTCGATTTTGGATCAGAGATAAAAGATGACTGTGAAAATGGCAGGCTAGAAATTTTCAATGGTTGTGGTTCCGAGCGGTTTCTGGTGGAAAAGATTTGTCAAAGGCCTAAAACTGAGCCAGTTGGAATCTTATGGGTCTCATCAGGGTCTTGTGTAACTATAAAGTTCTCTTCAGGGGAGCGTAAAGACAATAAATTTCGTCTAAGCATGGCGGAGAGTGCAGGTAAAATGACATCAGTTTACTATTTTCTTAGCACTGTTAAAAGTATTCTGCTTTTTGTAATTTGTGAAACAAAATGAAACAGAGATGAACTCAAAATCTGGAATTTGCTAAATGAAAATCTGTCACATATTCAATCAATTTTTATTTAGACATGAAAAAATTTTTTTCCCAAAAGATTGTATAATTTTATTCAATCGGTAAAATTTGTTTGAGGCCTGTCATCTTTGAGTGGAATGAACAGCAACCATTAAGTTAAATTTTGTCGATTATGCCAACCATCTCATTATTCTTTTTTCTTTTCTCATTTTCATAACTGAATCAACAAAAACCTAACAATGAACTGAAGTTCGAAGTCAAACCCCTAAAATCCCTGGCAATGCTACAATGTACATGTAGTCATTTCTTGAAATGCCTCATTCATATATATATCTTTGTTTAACTGTGTGGTTATTTGTTATACATTATATTTGTTTACTTCAACTGATATTTGCAACTGAGACCAAACTTTTTATGACAAGATTGTACAGTACATGCACTTTGCATTTTTTGTTTGACAACTTGTTTTCTTGCAGCCTCCTGTGGAGACATATTGAAAAATGACAACAACAAGAACCAAACCTTTGAAGGCAGACTGCCTGCAAACCCTGGAGGAAGCAACAAGTGTGTATGGATCATTGTTGTCCAGAGGGGCATAATTGAGTTGGCATTCAAAGACAGATTTCAAGTGACAAGCCTTGCCCAGGACTGTAAGGAGAATTATGTTCAAGTTCAAGATGGCAGATACAGGTACAATACCATGAAGTGTTCAGCTATTAGGGCTGAGCTTTACACCAAAGATAGAGTAGTTTTTGATTGAGGGTCAAAAGTGATTTGCATGTCAGATTGAACTGTTGTTATTTTACCTTCGTGGTGACTGGATGACACAACTTTGGCCTCTTTCTCAACATTTTTTTGTTAGATAAAAATTAAATCACTTGCATTTTCCTCTCATCTTACCCACTCTCATGACTGTTTACACGTACATCTAATTACTGTAACCCTCTCCCTTCTAAAAGTGACCATCATCTTGTTTCTCTTTACCTTATCATCACTGGTTCAAAAATTAAGGTCAAAAAAGGAAAGAAAAGATCACTTACTTGAAGAAGCTCTTGATTGTTAAACAAATTCTCCTTGACACCATCAAAGGAAATGTAGAGAGAACAGTTTAGAGAATATGCACATTGATGGTAGGGGTCAAAGGGTTCTGTGGGTTGTTTTGTGTCCTTGTGATATGTACATTCTGATCAGCCATTTTGAGTGCTGTGGTTTTGGTTTTTTGTTTTTTTTTTTGTATGTGTTGCTGATCAAAAAGTGTTTCTTCTGTAGTAACCTCCTCTTGTAAATTTACTGAGCGTACATGAAACTAAAATATATTTTGTGTTTGAGCAGTACTTCACCTGTCCTTGGAAGATTTTGTGGAACATCAAGGCCATACCCTGTGTATTCATCAGGGCAGTACTTAAGAATAACACTGCATGGAAGTAACACTGGGATCACCTCTAAGCATTCCTTCAAGGCACAGTACACTGTTGTAGACAGCACTCCAGCATCCAAAACCAGTATGTTGAATTTCATCCCATCTTTGTCATTTTATCTTTGGCATAGTTGTTTAATTTGCAGGTTTTGCTTTTAAATTAAAACTTTCAGACTTAGATCAAGTCTAATCAGAGTGTTGTAGCCCATGATACTTGGGTGTCTCCCTGTCAGTTTTCCTAACCTTGAAACTACCCCAGGTTGTTGCTATTTCTCTTTGATGGGCCAAACACAGGTTACCATGCAGCATTTTTGTCCTGATTCCCTGAAAGGTTGGTGCTACACTGTTCTGTATCTATCTATACTCCTGGAGGTGGTAAGCCACTGGTCCTAACCCAAGCTTGATTTGGGGCCTTTTGATCCACCACCCAAGGCACCAACAACTTAGCCACTGTTTCTCCAATAAATAAATATTTGTCTTCCATTTAGTGTTATGCTTTTTATTTCCTCTGTTTTCAGCTGGCCTCTCTTACTCTCAACCATACAGAGTGTTTCATCCTTTACCTTACCCAAGGAGTGTTAAGTGTTTCTTGCTCTCAACTCTATGGTGTGTTTCCTCCCAACCATACCCCAGTGATGTATCTCACCCCCCTCCCCTCTTTGTTGTCTTTCAGTACACCCCCTCTCCCCCAGCTGCCCTTAACTGCTTCAGTCATACACAAATTGAGAAGTTAATTCTATTGTTACTGCTTTCATACCAGATTACTGTGATCATGCTTTTTTGTTGGATGCCAATGATGGAAGATTTTCAACACCGCGATACCTGGAACAATATCCCCCTGGTCTTAATTGTATATGGAAAATCGAGGTTGCCAGTAAGAACAAGATTGTCCTCAGATTTCAGTAAGATTTATTTTATTGTGTGTATTAGATAGACATGAGATTTATAAGATTCTCATTTTCGTTAATTACAAAATGCTTTTGCCACAACTGATGTTAGCATTCTACAGTTCACTCTTGTGGGGGGGGGGGGGGGGAGAGAGGAAGGAACAGTCGTTATTTATTGCTGGGTGCGGAGGATGAGGGTTAGGTTTGGTTATTGCTATGTTAGAATTTACCCAATATCCTCATAACGCTCTGTGATTTTATGATGCTCACACGCCCCATTGGTAGTTAATTTGCAGCCTATTTTCTGTAGCCCCCCTATTTGTACTCTGTAGGTCAGGCCTGACTGACATCCCTCCATTCCCCTTTGAAATCCATTTGATCCCCCTTCCAAAATCCTCAAACCCTTTCTTTCCCCCTCCCTCCACAAGTTTGAACACCCATATTCTTGTGCTCTCACAAAGCGAATTTGGAAAAGCCTTCAGTTTTGGCCCTCAATTAATTAAATGACTTGGTAATTTCGGTGACTTTGAATTTTTAATTTTTTTCGGAATGGGTGATCCATTGTAAATAGTTTTTGTGTTTTCGGAACCATTCGATTAAATCGAAAAAGACGTGTGGTAAACTTTGTGTTATAGAAATGAATAATAGAAACAATACCTTTTTATTTTGTTCAGACTTTTGCAAAGCTGAGTATGTTAGGTAATCCCATAAAAGTGCAAAATGATAAGGTCCCTTCTCACAACAACTACATTTAGCGACAGTTCCACCAATATTTTTGCGTGTTACACAGTGATCAAAATGAATTTGTCCCTGTTGTCTCAGCTAATTCTGTTCAATGGATTAGGAAGTCGCAGTTTTATTTTAATATATTAGCATGTCTCTAAATTTCCTCTAACAGAAAGTGATTCCTCCATCAGTTGGAGTTGCTTCAAGTTATGTTTAGTACCAAGCATTTACTACGATTTTTTATCTGAAGCACTTTCAACTAGCTGATCTTTTCGACACTGATTTTCCCTCAGGGAGTTTGATGTGGAAGGGGATTCACAGGTATGCCCAGATGATTCCGACTATGCTAAAGTGTACAATGGCTTAGCTAGCTGGTCCCCGGTGATCGGCCGATATTGTGGCCGAGTCATCCCGGCCACCATCAAATCGAAGACGAACAAGCTCCGAATAGAGTTCCGATCCAACAGTCAATATGCTGGCCGAGGGTTTGATGCAGTGTACACTATCCAGAGCGACGAAGCAGGTATGGTGTATCTTAGTGACATTGGTGGAGCCTAGTCAAGTGTTAGGGCTGTTTGTGTGCGCTTTCCAAGAGGTTGAAATAAACGTTAATATTTAATGATCTTGATTTGTACAATAATGAGCTAACCCTCTTTTCCTTTATCTGATCTCTTTAAGATATCCTTGTCTGATCTTCTCGGTTCGAATCTTCGTGTAGTCATTGTAAACTCGATAACGATTTTGACGCTTTTTTATTTCTAAATAAGCCTATAAACCAATTTTTACAGACTAGAGGGCTAGAATTGTAAATATCTAGGTTGCTAAAATTCATGTAGTGATGTTAAAAAGAAAAGAGGAAAAATGTTTGAGCAAGGGGACACTCGGAGTTGAACCAAGGACCTCTCGATCTGCAGTCGAATGCTCTACCACTGAGCTATATCCCCATTGCGTGAATAAGAAATGGAATTTTTCTTTTTTAAAACAACTATTACGTGGCAGAATACCAGGCGACATATTCTTTCACCATGGATACGATATCTTTATTGGGGTCTCGAATATAAAATATTCGAATTCGATTACGACATTAAATGGATATCATTGAATGTGAATTATGCAAGCAATTCACCAGCAGGTAATCTTGGCTTTTCTGGTAGGCTACAAGCATTTCGAAATCGCAGTCGTGAAATGAGAAATAAGACTTAAGTACTGATTTTCTCGAGAGCCTTTTCTTCTGGTTTCGATTCCCTGTTTTTTCTTTTGTTTTCATTTTTGTCCTCTAAGTGAATGAAATTACGATTGATTGTTTTTCTTTATTTGTGATTCACTGCTCGCTTTTCGCTTTCTTCACCCGCCTACGCCATTTGACTCCTCTGATGAAATCCTAGCTTTGAATAATGACAAGATCATCGAGATAAGAAATATCCCGGATTTACACCAACTGGTTTACAGTGATCAAATTGAACCAATTTTGAAATATCACCTTCAACCATGAGAGCGGTGATTGCAAAGGTCATTTTCCCATCTGGAAATTTCAGATGGATTAAAAACGAAAAACAATTTCACCATCTTTCTAATATCCCTGACCAATGAATACTTCCGGTTTAGGCTAGTTCCAAATACCATTTCCGGTTGTAAATTTTAGTATGAGTGAAAGTCTTTATCTTCTGTGATGAGCCGTGGCTTCCTGACAAATTATTGGCTGGTGAACACTTTCCTTCCCATCCTGTAATTAGTTAATTTAAAAGCGGCGAGCTTTTCAGAACGCGATTTAAGTCACGAAAAATTCAAAAATTCTTGTTGGGATCTTGGGATTTCAATCCGATAAAAGGAAACATTTTAATGGGGCTGTTCATTTTAATTTCGTTTTCAGTTAGAAGGAAACTTTCGAGTAATGTTCAAGGTTTATAATTTTATTTAACTACATGTTACAATATATGAGGAAACTTTTAACCTTGGTTTACGATTGGTCTAAATTTTTACCTTTTTTGAACCCAAAATATTTTGTTATTGGTTGTTATTTTAATTTCCATTATTTTTTTAGTCATTTCTTTGTTTTGCTTTTTCTTGTCCTATTTTTATGGCCACTGCCTCCTGTGGAGGCGAAGCAGTAATGTTGTCCTGTTGAGTGAGTGAGAGTTAAAATAGAATAGAATACGAACGACGTCTTCGTCCTTAACGAAGTCTGCCGAGTTTTACCCGATATTCCTCGCTCTTGGCTTTTGTTTGTTTCCGAACATCTTCGGTTGTTCAACGTTTAATGACTTCTTCGAATCGCTTCGAATGTTACGCGGCATATTAGCAGGTAATCACACTGTTTTTCGGTGCTACTTCATGGTTTTCTCGTAATGTACTACAGGAGACGATAAACATTTCACAATCACTTCAGAATGGCACGTGAAAAAAAGAAAGCGTTTGAATGATATTGAAGAAATATCTAAATACGTTTGATCTGTACATCGTGGAAACTTTGTAGAAGAATTTATATATTCGAAAAGAGATCATTTTACCATTTCAATCAGCGACAAATGCTCAGAAGAGCCGTTAAATTTGCGAAGCGAGGAAGGTCCATAATACGATACGTTGAGTTCAACAGGGTGACGCCATTTGATGAAACGATGGAATGATGGAAAGGCCTAATATTCTACAGCGCGGAATGCCTTGTTGTATGAAACAAAAGTCTCACAAAAATGGAATTGCAATGTATAATTAACAGGCAAATCAAAATTAAAAGAAGGCTAGTTTAATCATTATTGAAGCCTAGGGATAGACGGACAGAGGAACAGTGAGGTTCTTGAGCGAGCCTCTATAAGTTATCATTACTATTACTTTTGTTATCATCATCATCATTATTATTATTATTATTGTTATTATTATTATTAATGTGATTATTTGTTACCATTTAATGAGTGGTTGTGTGTCAATTAGTCAGTGTATTCTTGAATCATCTTTCTCTTGTAGAATAGGGCTCTGATAAGTATGTGGGATGCAGTAGGGTTTCTATTTTGCAATAGTATTAAATTTCTTTTTACAAACTTATTGTACCATAAAGTGTGTTAGTGTTTTATTGCAAATCATGAGGTTTGAGGATGTATAATTTTACTAAAGTACGAATGAAAACATCACGATACAAAAAAACATGTTAATTCACTATTATTTTCTAACTGGAAGTGCTTTAATAAGGGTTAGATGAGCAAAACTTAGCTCACAATGTGCCAATCTCTTCTCAAACTTCGATTTGTTCCTCGTGTACTCCTTTTTGTGTAAGATTAAATGAGATCCTTTGATTTTCAGACGGAGAAACAAGGAATCACTTCACTGGAATAATGATTGGTGCCACTTGTGGTGTCATTTTCATCGTGCTCAGTCTTCTGGCCGTGTTCCACACTCGCAAGTTGCGGCGCCAACGGGCTCAGAGCCGGATATCAGAAGTAGCCAGCACTGTTTCTTTCGACATCCATCAGGCTAATGCCCCGCCAGCTTATGATTTAGGTAATGCTGGTAAATCTAGAGGGAAATGTGTGAGATGTGTATGTTAAACATCCTGAAGAACTGCCCATCCATATTCGAAAAAATGTTCTGGAGACCCTTTTGCGTCTTGATAGATAACAGCAATGTCCGTCCATTCCCTCAGTCCGTTACCTATAGCGTGTTTCGACTTACGCAATAACAGCAAATTTTGCAATTATTCCTTTGCAGTTATGGCGTCTCCGGATCTTTTCCCTTCAAAGGAACGCCAACAGTCACGTGGTTACTCCGGTGTTCCACACCTTCATCGGGAAATCAGCTATTTACTGGGTGACCCTGAGTCGGATGACGAAGATCTCCCTCCTTATCCGGGACTTTCCGGTAGGGATGGAGTGGTGGAATTTTGTTTTGGTCAACCTTCTGATGAGAGGAGAAGGTCTCACTCGAAAGAACGTCATGTGTCCGAATCGGAACAACCCTCGTGTCAGATTTCGGCGGTTTGGTACCGACGCTGTTCGACGGATGCGCCGTCCTCGCCAATTGTTCGGAACCTCGAGTCCTCTTTGGAAAATGAAGTGACAACGCTTGAGCGACGGGACTCCAAAGAAACGGTGCAACCTGTATTCCAGCGAATGGACACGACTAGTAGTTTTGTGACAGATGTTTAACTATTACTTGAGTAGAGGAAATGTACCAGAAGGAAAGAAGAACCTTCAAGATTGAAGAGAATATCTCTCTTTCAAGCAAATATATCGAACTCGGAAGCCCTTCGTCTCTACGAATTTCCAGAGGTTGTTACAGCAGTTAAAGTTGCTTTGAATGATAGTATAAAGGAAAGTGCTTTCCAGCTATCACATTTGGTTACATAATTTGAATCGCTTTGAAGTTACTGGATGGGATTTTTCCCGTTTAGTTTGCGTTGCAGAATATTTCGAACTGTTTCGTGTCGCCCATGGCTTTGTCAGGCTCTCAATAATCAGAGTTTTGTTTTGGCAATCGTGCTAGCTCGCTTATAATAATTTAATCATTTTATTTGGACCTCAAACGGTTAGAAATTGGGCTCGTGTTGAAACTCTCACAAGATATTACCGACTCCTTTCGCGGCTAGAATGTAAACTGAGAAGGCGACAAACTCGGAGAGGAAAAGGAAGAAAAAGGGTTACCTGGGAAGGGAAAGGTCGACACCTACACGTCTCATGTCCTTCTACCATTAGAGAACTGAATGGGTTAAAAACTACCTTAAAACTACAAGCTCGTTAGGGAACTTTCCTATATGCCCTCAAGTTTCTAGTTTAACGAGAAAGTGTAGTTTTTTGTTGTCGTTGTTTTCAGTTTTGTTTTGCTTGTTTTTACTTTCTCCGTGCGTTTTCTTGTCCTTTTTTTTTCCAAGCGAAAGTTTGTTCGCAGTTTGCATCTCTTTCAATGCCTTCTTGGTGCACGAATCTTCTTCATTACCCGCCTGGTAGGAGAAGCTCCTGATTTTTGTGCGCGCTCAAGTTTGGTTTTAAAGTTTGTGCTAAAGCAAGAAAAGGAGATCTTTTATCTTTTAGACGATGTAGCAAGGACGTGATCCCTCTTTCATTTTTGGCTTTTATTAATCGTTGTGCAATCGTGTCTGCTTTTAACGACACTTTTTTTTATAATTAGCACGCCATCGCTAGCTGCTGCTGTTGTCTCACTGGAATGCTTGCCGGTTTGAAGTGCTCAGAGGAACATATATCTTAATGAAATTATTTTTATTGAATCAGATGTGGCACTAAATGAGACAATTTTATGTCCGGCATTCAACGAGTTCCCTTAATTGGGGATTGATTATCAATTTTTATCAAAAATAAACTGTCAACAACTCAGATTCGTATAATTTAAGAGAGACAAAGTTATTTCGTTGAAAAATTATTTACAAAATATTGTAATT